AATACAACCAAAGTATGTGAGAAGAAGTCTAGTTATTCTTGTTTCTAAAGAGCATTCCAGCTGCACTTCTTCCAAGACAGATTTGTTTGTTCTTCTGGCAGTCCATAGTATATTAAATATTGTTCGCCAACACTGCAATTCAAATGAATCAATTCTTCTTTGGTCGTCTTTATTCACTGTCTAGCTTTCATATGCATATGAGACTATTGAAAAGACAATGGCTTGGGTCAGGTGTACCTTAGTCTTCAAAATGACATCTTTGTCACTTTAAAGAAGTTTTTTTGCAGCAAATTTGCCCAATTCAATATATCTTTGATTTTTTGGCTGCAGCTTCCATGGATGTTTATTATGGATCCAAGTAAAATGAAATCCTTGACAACTTCAATCTTTCTCCATTTATCATGATGTTACTTATTGGTCCAGCTGGGAGGACTTCGTTTTCTTTATGTTGAGCTGTAATCCATACTGAAGGCTGTAGTCTTTTATCTTTATTTATTTATTTATTATGATTTGGGTGAAAATTTACAGAGCAAATACACTTTCCATACAGCAGTTCACATACACTTTGTCTCATGACATTGACCACAATTTAGCACAATGCAACATCTCCCCTCCCACTTCCTCCCGATAGTTACCTCTTCCCTGTGTCCATTCCTCCATGCACTCCTGCCCCCTAAGCTGTCTCCCTGTGCATAAGCAGCCCTTCTTTCTCTCATGCTTATTCTCTTCAAGGAGTGTATCTACCTCAGGTAAATGCTCAAGTGATATGCCTGTCTATTGTTTGGCTGGAAGCCACTGGTGTGCATTCAATTCCAGACCTGAAGGGCAGCTAGGGGCCATAGTCTCAGTGGTTCCACCAGGTTCCCTCAGGCCAGCAAACCTGTTTCCCGCTTTTTTTTTTTCCAAATGATTTTAAGTTTTGTTCCACATTGTTCTCTCTGTCTATCCAGGATTTCCTGCAAGGACCCTCTTCCAAGTGGTTGACAGTAGTAGCCGAGCACCCATCTATTTCTTCTGGTCTCATAGTCATATAGGCTGCAGATTGGATGGTGTACCAGTCGCTAGGACTAATTGTTTCCATGAACTTTTGGTTTTCTTCATTCTTCTTGGCTCTGGACAAGGAGAGACCCATCGTTGCATCTAGATGGCAGCTTGCAAGCTTTTAAGATCTCAATTGCTACTTGCCACAGTAGGAGGTGGAACAATGTTTTGCATAGTATGTTATGCCAATTGAGCTTGATGTCCTCTGTGACTATGATCCCGAGCCCACAGGTTCAACTACTCGGTCCCTCTGGGTAACTGGCTGTGACCAAGCAGTGACTACAGCCTTGCCCCTTGTCAGCCCCATTATACATCTGGGACTTCAGATCATATACATAAAGTTATTGGACCACTTTCTGCCAATCCTATATATGTTCTTGGGTGCACTCTCCACTTCATATACATACCTAATATGTCAGCCTGTCCACCCATCTATCCATCCATATACCCGTGTTTGCCTTCATGGACCATGCTGTACTATATGTGTAAAAGGGTTCATCTTTGTTGTCTGTACTTCCCACGTACCTCTCTCTGTCTTTCTCTTCCTCAATGCCACTATATTGATCACTCACTTTTGGTACATTGCCTCTTTCTTCACCCAAATCAAAACTTATCTCTAGCTATATAACAATATTCCCTCCCCTCTCCTCCCACCCCTGGTAACCAACAAAGAAGATGGTCTTCCGTAGATAAATGTTTCCTTGACTATTACAATAACAGACTAATACCCTATTTGTCCTTTTGTGATTGACTTATTTCACTCAGCATAATGTCCTCCAAGTTCATCCACATTATGTGGTGTTTTGCAGATTCTACATTATTCTTTAGGGTTGCATAGTATTCCATTGTGTGTATGTACCAAAGTTTGGATATCCATTCCTCAGTTGATGGACACCTAGGTTGTTTCCATCTTTTGGCTATTGTAAATAGTGCTGCGATGAACATGGGTGTGCATATGTCTGTTCTTGTCATGGCTCTCACTTCTTTAAGGTATACACCTAGTAATGGAATAGCTGGGTCAAATGGTGTTTCTAGTTCCAACTTTTGAAGGAATCGCCATACTGCTTTCCACAACGGTTGTACCATTTTAAAGTCCCACCCGCAGTGTATGAGAGTCCCAATCTCTCCACATCCTCGCCAGCATTTATTATTTTCTGTCTCATTGAACTTTGCTACTAGTGCTGGAGCAAGATGGTATCTCATTGTTGTTCTGATTTGCATCTCTCTAATAGCTAGTGATCATGAGCATTTCTTCATATGTTTGTTGGCCGCTTGAATATCCTCCTTGGTGAAGTGTCTACTCATGTCTTCTGCCCATTTTTAAATTGGATTGTTTGTCTTTTTGTTACTGAGGTGTTGGAGTTTTCTATAAATTCTAGAGATAAGTCCCTTGTCGGATATGTTATTACCAAATATTTTCCCCCAATCTGTAGGTTCTCTTTTGACTCTTTTGGAGAAGTCTTTGGAAGCACACAAAAATTTAATCTCTAGAAGGTCCCAATCATCTGGTTTCTCCTCTGCTGTTTGTGCATTTTGAGTTATGCTTGATAGTCTATTTATGCCATATATTAGGGCCCCTAGATTTGCCCCCAGTTTTTCCTTGAGGAACTCTATAGTTTTGGGTTTCACATTTAAGTCTTTGATCCATCTGGAGTTCATTTTTGTGTATGGTGTGAGGTACAGATCTTGTTTCATTTTTCTGCAAATGGATCTCCAGTTTTGCCAGCACCATTTATTAAACAATCTCTTCCCCATTTAATGGATTTTGGGCCTTTGTCAAAGATGAGCTGACTATAGGTCGATGGATCTATTTCTGGGTTCTCAATTCTATTCCATCGGTCTATGTATCTGTCATTAAACCAATACCAGGCAGTTTTGACTACTGTGGCTGTATAATAGGTTTTGAGATCTGGCAGTGTGAGACCTCCTACTTTGTTCTTCTTCTTCAATAGTGCTTTGCTTATCCGAGGTCTATTTCCTTTCCATATAAAGTTAGTGATTGGTTTTTCCATATCCCTAAAGAATGTTGATGGGATCTGGATTGGGATTGCATTGAATGTATAGATTGCTTTGGGTAGAATTGACATTTTCACAATGTTCAATCTTCCCATCCACGAGCATGGGATGTTCTTCCATTCATGTAGATCTCTTATGGTTTCTTGAAGTAGTTTTTTATAGTTTTCTTTGTAGAGGTCTTTTGTGTCCCTGGTAAGATTTATTCCCAAGTAATTTTATTTTTGTAGTCTTTGATCATCATCAGTAAGTGCTTCAAGTCTTCTTTGCTTTCAGCAAGCATGGTTGTGCCATCTGCATATTGCAGGCCATTAATAAGTCTTCCTCCAATCCTGATGCCGTGTGCTTTTTCATATAGTCCTGCTTCCAGGATTATTTGCTTAGCATAGAGATTGACTAAGTATGGTGATAGAAACCACTCTTACACCTTTCCTGATTTTAAACCATGCAATATCTCCTTGTTCTGTTCAAATGGCAGCTTCTTCGTCTATGCACATGTTCCTCATGAGCACAATTAAGTGTTCTGGAATTCCCATTCTTTGTAATGTTATCCATGATTTGTTATGATCCACACAGTCAAATGCCTTTGCATAGTCAATAAAATACAGCTAAACATCTTTCTGGTATTCTTTGCTTTTGGCCAGGATCCACCTGATATCAGCAATGATATTCCTCATTCCACATCCGTCCTCTTCTGAATCCGGCTTGCATTTCTGGCAGTTCCCTGTCAATGTACTGCTGTGACCATGTTTTAATTATTTTCAGTAAAATTTTCTTTGCGTGTGATATTAATGATATTTTTTGATAATTTCTGCACTCATATTAGTTGCTTACTATGTTTATTAAGCAAAGCGTACATTTCTCAGTTCTCTCTCAACATCTAAATTTTAACTCCTTTCCTACGTACACCAAACAAATTTGTCTAAAAACCCCCAGAAATAATTCATGTGGAGTATATATGCCCTGCAAAGTATAAGGTGTTGGACAAATGTTAGCAGTTATAATGGTTCGTTTCATCTAGTTTTACATATTTTCAGTCAAAGGGCTGTACGCTCTTATTTCACCTTACAATATTTTAACAGGAAAAAGTTATTTCTTGGGATTCCCGCCTACCTTTCTCTATTCTGCCGAGCCTTCCAATTCCCTGCACTGTCAAAAAAGGAAACATACTGAAGGGGTGGGGGGTACAGCAAAATCAAGCACCCTTGCCAGAGACCATGTTAGTCTAAGTCCCACAGATTAGGCCAAGTCTCTTCATGCAGGTCCACCACGTTTGTCGCTGTGTCCTCTTGTTTCTCAGTTCTGATTGACTGTAGCCACATCCTTACACAGACTCCTTGTCCTCGATTCCCCAATCTGGAACACTTGTTCCGGGACTGGCTTGGGTACAATTGCCCAGCGTTCCCGAACGCTGGCTTCCCTGGGAGAAGTCGCTGCGATGGCTCCCTGTGCTGCCTCCCCCATGCCTCTGCCCGCTGCCCCTTTGCCCTCTCTCCTCCGGTGGACTTTATTACTCAACGGTGACCTCCTGGCTGCCAGGGACAGGCACGTGACCGAAAAACTTTGGAAGCCCAAGCCGCGGGCGGAGGGGGAGGAAAGGGAGGGGAGAAGGCGGCGCGGCGGCCTGGCTCCCCCACGCGGGCGGGCTTGGCGACAAGGAGGCTCTCTCCCCGCGCCACGCTGCCTGAGCGTGCGGGTGCTCCGCGGCTGCGGCGGCGGCGGCGGCGGCGCGGGCCGGCGCGAGGTAATGAGCCGCCTGAACGCCGCGCGGTGTCCAGGAGCAGTCGGCTGCGCGCGTTCCCCAGGCGGCGCGGTCCAGCAGGGGGCCCCGCCTGCTCTGCCCTGCAGGCGGCGGCGCCGAGGGACGCTTGGTGCCCACTCACGCCCGCGGTCTCAGCACCGCGGCTGCCTCCTGCCACTTGCTTACATAGAGCCCTGTATTCCTGCCGTTTCCCACTTTCCTCACTCCTTGAGCTAGATGAGAAGTTGGGGAAAATGGACAGGGTCATCTTGGGGTTGATAGCTCTCTTCTGGCTAACAGGTAAGAGTTATTTTCTATAGAGTCGAATAACTTTATGTATATTACCCTTGTGGTACAGTCCTCCCCCCCCCCC